TATGCAGTATTTTTCTTTGCAGCATTGGACTTTCCTTTCACTTCCAGCCACGTCCACAGCTGAGCGTCCTTTCGGCTTTGGCCCAACCACTTCATTAGCTCTGGAGCTACTTGTACATGTCCTCTGCGCTTCCTCAGTAACATGTTGAACACCTTCCGACCCAAGGGGCCCATCTTCCAGCATATCTTTTAACCTTTTGTTTCAGTTCATAGGAAAAGATACTGGAGTGGCTTGCCAATTCCTACTCCAGGTGGATTGCGTTTAGTCAGAACTCTCCATTATGATCTGTCCGTCTTGGGTGTCCCTGTACGTCATAGCCCATAGCTTCTCTGAGTTACTCAAGCCCCTTCGCCACGACAAGGCAGCAATCCATGAAACCTGAAAAACTTCATTATGTTCAACAGTACTTACTAAATCCCCAAGAAGAGCACTATAATGACACTTTGAATGTATAGACGAAAGAAACGTTGAAATGTTGTTGCTTAGTTTACTAAAACACACTATACCACACCCACTGAACCAGTGGGATTTGGTTACACAACTCCTCCATAAGTTCCATGAATTCAAATGGGCCTACTCTACTTAAGCCTTACTGTACTAAAGTGTGTTGCAATTAGAACAGAGCCATTTGAATCAATGGAACTTACATAGGATTTGACTCACCAAACCCAACTGATTTAACTACTCTACTGTGACTTACGGTGCTAAACATTAGAGTTTCTGCAGTAAGATCTTATCTGGGACAATATTTTATGAATCCTCTTGCCCCCAATATATAAGAAAAAAGGAAACCCCAGATCCTTTTTTAATAAGCAATTTGCATCATCATAAAAGCAAGAAGTTAATTTGTTATTACCTCATCAAATCCAGCAGCTTGTAGATCTTGCAGCATTTGTCGATTCACTTCTGATGTTCCTCTTGCTGAAGAATTTGTTTCATTTGCAAAAGGAAGCAAAGAATTTCGAATTTCTTGCAAAGCTTTATGGTAGGTTCCAAATTTAGGAGGGTTTCGACCCTGTCTGAGATCTTCAGCAGATATTTTCCCCATATTTTGCTCAAGTTTAGCAGCATCAGAGGGCTTCGGCAAATTTCTAAGACTCTCTCGTATTTCTTGCAACATCTGCCGACTGCTGCCAGTGTAATTACTGGCAGGAAATGTTTTAGGCCTCATTTGTCTATATCCTTCTGGCTTCTCACTTCTCTTCATGAAACCGTAAGGATTCTTAACAAAAATTCAACTTGGATGGTAACCTTAACATTCACTGTTGATCTTGATTCCAGTGGTACAAACATTCATTTAAGCTTAGGCCAGCCAACCTAAATAAATAACATTCATTGTACATTATTAGGAAACAGTTACCTCTAGCATTTTCCTTTTCATATAATTCTCTGGATGTTTAGTCATAACAACTCTTTTCAATGATAATTTTGCAGATTATTGCAACCATAGTGGTGTTCATATTTTTCACCATTTACTTCTGAATCTAACAACAATGTATAATTCAGGAACAAATTATCAATATGCACTGTACATTGTGTCAATGTATGCTGTTCATATTTGTTTCTAAGCAAGCTGATCTAATGAATTTAGCAAATGTTTCAGTTTTTACTACCCATAGCTAGAAGAGATGATCAAGTGTGGAGATGAAACAGAGTTACCAAAAACATTCATTCTTGAATCACACATGTGTTCTTGTTGAATGAAGACTAAGAAAGACTAAAGAGCCTATTCACATTTCAGCTACATTGACTAGACTTCCTTAGCAAGCCAACTCAGCACCTTTCTACATACTGTTATTGTAAGTACAGTAAGTACATCTAAATCTTTTCATGCAGTAACTCAATTCTGTTTAGGTAAATACAGTGGTGCCTTGACTTAAGAACTTAATCCGTATTGGAATGATGGCTGTAAGTCAAAACGTTCTTAAGTCAAAACAGCATTTCCCATAGGAATGCACTGGTTTTTGTCCTTATATCAAGGCATGGTTCATAAGTCCAAGCATTAGTTCCCATAGGACAGTGATGGCGAACCTATGGCACGCGTGGCACAGCTGGCACGCTAAGCCCTTCTGGCACGCGACAAACCTTTTGACGTGGCTGCAGCTGGGATTCCCCCTTTCTCTTCCTGTTAGTCCCCATGAGTCCCCTTTTAACTTCCTGTCTGTCCACATGATTCCCCCTGAAACTGCCACTTCCTGTTCTGGTCTTCCAGGCGGCACAGCAGCCACTGGTTTCTTCCCCACCCCCTCATTCTGGACACTCGAGCCGAAAAAGGTTTGCCTCCACTGCCATAGGAACTAATGCAAATCCGGTTAATCTGTCCTCTACCACTAGGGGGAGATTTTTTTCTTCTTTTGACCTAAAATGAACTTAGGTCAAAAAAGGGCAGGAAAGGTGGGTTTTTTTGTTCGTAAGTTAAAGCATGATTCATAAGTCAAAGTAATGTTCGCATCCTGAGCAGTTCGTAACTCAAAACATTCGTAGGTCAGGGCATTCGTAAGTCAAGGCACCACTGTAATAAACCAAGCAACCCCATTCAGAGCACATGTGCTGATTCTTTAAAGGATGAATTCTTGGTTAAGTGGCAAGCAGAGAAGTACCATATTTTTCCATTTAGAAAGACACTACTTTTTCCTAAAATCATTACACTAAAAATTGAGGGGCATCTTTTACACACAGGTAAGCTGAGAACACAGAGAGAACAAAATGGCCGTTCCTTGCCTCTGTAAACAGACTTCCTTCAGTCATGAGGCTTAGCTTCCTACAGTCAGTAGACTTAGCTTTCTCTGATCACGAGCCTTATGGAACCGATGCCAGCTGATGCTGAACAAACCAATTGGAACACATCTCGTTGGAGGTGGAGCCTGTAGGCTCAGAAGAAGCAGGGACTCTTAATGTCAGAGTGTTCTGAGCCCAGAGGTTGAATCCTCAGAGCTAAGTTTTTCTTAATTTTGGGGTTAGAAAAGTGGGGTGGGGGTAGGGGTCTTATAAAGAGAAAAATACAAAATGTAGCTTCTTAAGGCCAATACACTACAGTGGAACCTTGACCTACGAAAGTCCCCACTTGCGGACTGCTCCAGACGCAAAATTTCACTTTGACTTGCTGCTTACGAAAAGAAAAAGGCAGGGGGAAAGGGTGGGAAATTCAAATTGCTAACAGTTGGTAGGCGAAGAGGCTGCTTATCTCTTTCGCCCCAATGGTTAGGGAAAGGGAGGTGCAGCTTCCCGGGCTTCCCCCACCGCCGCTGCTGGGAGCCCACCCACACCGGGCAATCCCGGCCATGCTCGGACTCCTGGACTTTCCCTGCCGCCGCCGCCGCTGCTGGGAGCCACACTGCGCCAGGTGATCCCGGCCATGCTCGGACTCCTGGACTTCCTCTGCCGACGATGCTATTTGAGCGTAGTGCGAGAAGTCCAGGAGTCGAAGCATAGCAGAGATCACCTGGCATGGCTCGGCTCCTAGCAGCTGCGGTGGGGGACCCCCATGAAGCCTCCGGCAGCGGCGATGGTGGCAGTGGCAGACCCCTGGGAGGCTTCGGACCTGTAAGATGCTGCTTTTTATTCTTTTTAAAATGTCTGGGCAGATTTTGGAAGGTAGGTTTGGGCTGGGGGGGTATGTTTGTGCTTTTTTTAAAAGGTTTTTTTTGCAGTCCCAGCATGGGACTTGCTGTACTGTATTTATTTTCATTTGGGAGGGTATTTTTTCTTCGGCTGGCTATGGATTAATCGGTTTTCAATGCATTCCTATGGGAAATGGAGCCTCGACGTACAGACTTTTTGACCTGTGGCCACCGTTCCAATACAGATTAAGTCCGTAGGTCGAGGTTCCACTGTATGCCACTGCTGTCACTGTCTGCAGCCTTACATAACTGAGGAGGGTTTCAACACTGTCTGGTATCAATACCACGACATTATCCTCTCTAAATTTCTCACAACTTACCACCTTTATTGAATATTTGCATTTACTGTGATTTAAAAGGCAAATAAGCCACATAAAATCAAGAAGACAAGTTACCTTGCCATGTAACAATATCTATTCACACTATCCATAATATCACTCATATAACAGTAACATTAAGTGTGCACACCATTACAAATAGGTAAAACCCTGCACGAGACAGATATTTGTTGCAATCAGTAAATATGACACTGGAAGTGGGGACTACATATGGTACATAGGTAATAGATGTTATTTTTTGTGGTCATTTATTTATAAACACAGTGGGAGATTCCTTTTAGATTTAGGCAGCAATCATATGCATTAGTTTGAATGAACATCAATGAATCCTGCTGGTGATTTACACATGCATAAGTTAAACAGTGTAAATTACAACAGTGAATTGTGCTAATTAACGGGGCACTGACTGTATTACTAGGTGCATGCTTACTGCAAAGCTGGGTAGGTGCCTCGTAATGTGCCTGGCACCTTGTTAGTTAAAAGCAGCACACCAAATTGAGTCCTGTCAAATCACTTTAACATCAAGCTACTTGACTTGTGACTACTCTATAAATTAGTGACCTCCAAAAGGTACCACTGTTAACATCCCTGTGCAGCCATTGCAAACTAAATGCTGTGATTTCTTTATGCGTGCATAAATCACTAACAACATTCTGGTAAAATAAACTTGCTCTCAAACCAGTATTGTGAAGTTCAAATTATTATCTTAAGTAGGGGTGAGCTGGATTAAGTTTTGATTGATACTTCCTTTTTTTAACAACCCCAAAGTCCACTCACAAGTTTATAAAGCAAAAATGCATGGTTAGGATAACATAACAATTATGGAATATCTGATCTGTGCTAAAGTGATCTACTGCTTAAGAATATAAACAGTATCTTGTTTGAGGATTCCAAAGCCCATCCAATGCAGAACTAGTTAGTACAATTTCACAGGAAACACAAGACTGTCCATCAAGAATGGGTCCAATGACCATGGAGCATCTCTGGTCCTCTATCTACTCCTTTCTCATATAGATCCACATGTACATCAACTGTATTCTACTGACATGTATGCACTTACTTCCAATAATGGCTATTTAAGATTGCCACTAAGAGTATCTGCAGTACTGATCTAACTTGATGATGATACATTGGTCTACAAAGCTGCATTCTCATCTGTAAAAGGAATTCCTAGTATTTCAACCAGGCAGTCTATTTACAGGAACTATACTCAGTGGGGGTGGTGGCGGAAAATAACAGTTAAGACCTTCCAAACTAGCTGAAGACCACACATGTAGTTCCATTCACAAAAGCAGGATCCAAAATAAATATATAAGCAATAAATCATTCCAAATCACACTGAGATCTATTTTTCAAACTGAAAGTACTTAAAGGGCAATTTGTGAAACAGTATGGAGTCTGCCCTCATAAGAAAAACTGTTAGGGCAATCAGTGTGAAAATATCTCTTTGGACAGGAAACAAACAGAAATACATGGCATGTAACATAGTGGGTTGGATATACTAAGCCGATCTTCTACAAATGGAAAGGCTCTATTTGTTGGTTAAGGGACTGGGATCTAGTGGCATCCTGAAAGGTAGAATGGCAATTTCCTCAGAATTTGTGAGATTAAACTTCCTGCTTCCAAGTACAGACCCTGCACCATTTCAGATGCTATCTGGGGTGGGTGGTTCCAAAGCACGTTTTGGATGCTGTAGAGACTGCAGAGGGAACAGAAAGGAACCAGTAAAACTCAGTAATCATCTTCTGCCTAAAGAACTATCCCGTTCATATAGTTTGAGTAAGTGCAATCCTGAACTGAACCCACTACTTGCACTAGAACAGATTGTATTGCATCATTTTAAAAAGAAGGAATTAAGATTTAAGAAATTAAAAGGTATATTAGGATTTAAACTCATGTCTCACTTCCTACACATAGTTATCTTGTCATTCACTAGACACTCGCACCAGAGACATGAAGCTATCTCTCCTACCTTTTGTGCCTGGTGTGTAATCCACAACATTTTACAAAAGATACACAACTATAGACAAAATGTTTGAGCCTCAGAAAAACTTTCACATATCTAATCAAAATGATGTATTTATGATGTTGGTACATAACTTACATTTGTTTCAATTAAACTACTTTCCAAGTAAATATGGTCAGGATCACAATCTTATTTGGAACTTACTAGCTGCAAGTAAGCAGTTATAGTAAATGTTGAAAACAAATATTCTAATAAAATATACAATCAGAGAAAAAAAATCTATTTGGAATATGATATGTACAGTGATAGTGAAACAAATATTAATATCATCTATTACTGTGCAGGCAATATACATAATCATGCCAAATGAGGCAGAACAAAATTTGGTACACATTAGTCTACAAAAATATGTACAGTACATACTGTAGGACCACTCATGATCCTGAGACTAACTTCAAAGGTCTCAACAGAAATTACTGGGAAATACAGTGTAAATCTTCATTACTGATGTTACTATAGTAAGCAAGTCCCTGCACATCTATTACCATAACTCCTTTTTTAGCTGGTTCAGGCTGCACCTTTACTGTTGTCAAGTCCAAATTGTGTCTGCTATGTTAGAACACATCATTTCATTTTGCTAATTCTCATGCACAATTCTAGACATATAGACAGATTTTAATCAGCTACAGTGGGGTCTTGACTTGAGAACTTAATCCATATTGGAAGGCGGTTCTCAAGTCAAAAAGTTCTCAGGTCAAATCTGCATTTCCCATAGGAATGCATTGAAAACCATTTGATCCGTATCTGCTCTTTTCCATCCATAGAAACTAATGGGAAGCTGCTATTCCGCCTTCGACCACTAGAGGGGATAGTTTGTTTCTTTTTTTCTTAGGTCAAGAAAGGTTCAGGGAAGGCAGGGAAAATACAGTCCACGCAGTATAGTACCAGGCAGTCTGAAGACTGTCTCCCAATCCACTCTCTAAACACTGGGAGGAGTGAGGAAGCAGACAGGCATCCTTTTCACTGGCCAACAGTTAACTGAAAGTTCAAATTTTACCCTTTCCCTGCCTCCCACGTGGTTTTTTTTTCAGTTCTTAACTCCAATCTAAGTATGTAAGTCAAGTCAATATTTTCCTATGAGAGTGGTTCTTAAGTCAAAAGGTTCTTAACTCGAGCCGTTCTTAAGTCAAGACCCCACTGTATATTTGAGTGCATAGACACAGGAGGATCTTTATCACACTGATGTTCGAATTTCCACTGATTAACATTTTATACCCAAGGTTATTCCTCAACTATTATGATTTTACATGGGACTACCCTTCAAACCTGTCTGGAAGCTACTGCCCATGCAAAGTACAGTGGCAAGACTGTTCACTAGAGTGCACTTTGGAAAGCAGGGTGGATAAAAAACAGTGGTTTTTTAAAAAAAATCCGAACTGATTTTAGTCATGCTTTAATTCACAATTTAAATGTTAAAAAAAATTAATTCAAGTCATTTTAAAAAATCCAATTTTAAAAATTTAAACTGAAATTTCAATCCATTCTGTTGGAAACCATATACTGTTGGTCTTGAATCTTCTGTGCCAGCTTCCAGCTGCTTTAAAAGCTCAATTCAAGACGCTCGATTTAACCTATAAAATCCTAAATGGCTTGCAGTCAGGGTATCTGAAAGACCACTTTCTCTTTTATGAGCCTATCTGAGATCTTCAGCCAGAGGTACCACTGCATGTCCCATAACCCTGAGACTAGATTAAGAAATAGTTGATACAGGTCTTCTTAAACCATTTGCTATTGTTTTTTGTTTTTAAAAATGTTAATTTTGCATACATGGTAGGCAAATAAAAATATGCTGATCAGTAAAAAAATCTTTGTCTTCCCCTTTACAATGGTTTGCCACTACGAAGCTACATACTTTGCTCTTTTCCTTCTCTTTCATAAAAATCCTATTTCTGTTTCAGATTCCTATTTCTATTCAATTATTGTTGGATATTAACACTTCATATCACTGAAGTTGTTAGTTTTAAGCCATTTTCAATTAGTGCCTAATTAAGACTGACATCAGCAATAGGCTCAGCAGTTTTGTGATACTGTACAGCCTTTGCCTCAGAGGTGTTCACTGTCACATCCTTGACCATTGTGGCCCCACTGCTCTTCAGTGTTACTGACAAGGCACCTGCATGAGCAAACAAGTCAAGAAGACATCACAGCAGCTTCTACTTATCTTTCCCTCTGAGCCAGCTGTTCAGACTAGGCACAGAAAAAAAAAATACATGAATGGAAGGTATTGAAATGGAGATGCACCCTCCAAAATCTAAACCCAGTATCGTGCACACCCATTATGTTTTGTCTACTAAAACAAGGTTGACTTCTAGGAATAGTATAGGTCATGGCTATCCATACTCACTTAAAATTAAGTCTTCACTAAGTTAAATGGGACTTACTGTACATGAATAGGACTGGGTTTACTATGCATACTACTACCAAAGAAAACAAAAGCGAATGCCCAAAGACAAATACTGTATGCTGTAGTGGAACCACCTCTAAATATACCCAAATTGTACATCACTTTATCTTTCTTTTTCCCTTGCATTTATGTTTCATATCAGACAACAGGCATTCTACACAAAAGCCTGTACATTTCATTGTTTACACATTTCTGTACTTAGTAGAATTTTTAACATTTAGGCCAAAATTTTAAGTCAACACTTACAGAAACCCTATTGGATCAACTGATCTGCTTTGGTTGGAACTTGCAATAAGATTTTGTCCTTAGCACTCATAGTGCTTGACTTCAAAGAATATTTGAAGGCGATTCAATGGTTTAAATTACTTTTAAAAAGGGCAAAATACAGATTGTTTCAGGATTGTGTGTACCAATTAAGATATGCATGTACAGGTATCAAACTTCCACCTAAGCAAAGTAATACACTTAAGATGGACCTTTTAACCATCTTATTTAAACAGAACAGGAGCACCTTGGCATCTCACTGATTGCAGAATATTCTGTACTTAACTTATATGATTACATTAGTCACTAATTTTAGCCTCGTAACAATGTTACACTAACACTTGCTCTTTTTCCCATTTGTTGAAGAAAAAATACAAAACATTTTAGAGGCCTAAAGAGACATGTATATATAAAAGAGCACAGATAATAGTACCAGCACAATTCAATAGTACTAGTACAATTCTGATCGTTCTCCAATCTTTATAAACAAAGGAAAAATACCGAGCATGAAGTAAGGAGGTAAAGGACAACGATAATCCAGAACAGAAGCGAACAAGGAAATGGCTAAAAAAGAGAGTTCCGCTAGACCACCTGTTAGTACGGTATGAAAAGGGGGTGCGGGGGTGGGAATAACGCAGCATGCGACGCCCGGGTTCCAGGGGACGGAGAGGCCAACCTATGGATCACGTACAGTCACTACAGGCCGGAGACCCACATTAAGGAGAGCGCCTACACGGAGACGACGAAATCTCACGGAAGGCCCCGCCGAGCGGCAAAGAGCGGGACGAAATTTAAGAGGCAAAAGAGAAAGGAGCGTTCATGTCAAGACGCTGGAACCCTTCAGGCCGAGGCGTGTCAGGCGCAAGGCATTCTCCATTAACCAGCCACTAACTTTCCTCCCCTGAGGGGACGCTGGAGCCAAACCTTCCGACCCACCTGCCTGGAAAGAGAGGAAGAGAGGGGGGCGACGGTTGACAGGCACCTCAAAATCTGGAGATACGGAGGGAGGCGGAGGCTGCACGCCGTGGCTGCAAGGTTGCCGGACCCCAGGGTGATGATGCTAGTGTTCGTCCCCTCCCCCCTCAATTCTTCCCCCCCCTTTTCGGGGGTTCAGTTCCGGGCCGCCATTTTGTCGGTGGGCCGCTAACCCGAGATGCCCGGATATGAAAACTTTTCCCAGCTCCCTTTGCGCGGCGCTCGCCGGCCTGTTCCTTCGTCTCCTCGGCCTCTCTCTCTCCCCCCCGCCCACCTTTGGAATGTGAGCCGGCGGAGGCATCCCCGGAGCGGTCGGGACCCCGCCTCCTGCGGGGAAGGCGCGGCCTGAGGATGCGGCGCTTGAAACTTACGCTTGGGGGCGAGCGAGGAGAAGCGGGTGTGTGTGTGGGGGGGAGGTTAAATGTCCTGGTTTGCAAAAGGCTACACTGCCGGTCCGCGAAGGCTGACCGGCAGCTCAGCCCTCGGACTGGCCTTTTGTTGGGTGCAGCGGGGATAGCACAGTGGCCGCGACGCTTCAATTTCAGTCAAAAAGGCACCAGGCACGTGGGTGTGAAAAGAGGCGCCACTGCCTGGTTATTTGCCTGCCTTTTGTAACTGTGGACTGCGGTAGGAGTGGGTCCCAATCCGTGCTGGGATGGGAACTCTCGACGCACAGGTGCTCGGTAAGCCATTCCCCACAGCCCTCCCTCTATTAAGGCCAGTCCTAAAAACGAACACAGATGGATGGGGAGGTGGACTTTTGCAAAGCTAATGGTGCTTAATTGCTCATCCAAGAGCAATTACTCTGAAATGGTTTGTATTACAGTAGGGATAATTTATGACAAGCTACTGCTGCTTCTGGAAAGTAAAATACAAATTCTTTTTCAGCTACTGTGAGGATATCAGCTAAACCGGGAGGCAGGCAGGGTGGCAGATGATGTCATAGTCTCTAAGAAAGTTTTGGGGATTCAATCCTGCAAGTTCTGGCCTAGCTACACCATTGGTCCTAGCACTACTGTGCCCGAAAACGTGAGGAGCAAGTGAACTTTCTCAGAGAGATAATTGCGATTATCTATTGCAGCAAAATTGATATTAAGTCTTACAGTACCTTAAACATTGTAGGGTGTTTTTTTCCCATGAACTTCCATGGACTCAATACAGCTGTTGTAGACTGCAGCTGAAGAAGTGGGTTGCATTCTGGCACAGCTTACCCCAAACAAAAAATATGTTAAACCTTCAATTCACAAACTTCTGACGATCTTGTGGAAAGGAAGGTCAAGTGGGCAGCCAATGAACCAATGCAACAAGAAATCGAGGAACTAGCAACAGCACTTAAAGCTCTGTTTTTAAAAAATAATAATTTGCCCATTATTTATTAGGAATATACTTATATACCTCAGAAACAAAAATGCATAGAAAGGGAGCAAACTTGCCACAAGTCACCAGGCAGTCCAGGAGTAAAGAGCAAATAAGCATGCTGCTTTCTAAAACAATTTCATTGCCAGTCACTGTGCAGAAAATGTAGCAGCATTATGTCTGCAGTCCCCACACCCAAAGTTAATTCTTACACAAATGGTTCCCAACTTATGACTCACCATGTTTTAGACTAGAACTTTCAGAATCTCTAAATATTGGTTGTAGTGGCTGGGACTTCTGGGAGCTAACATTCAAAGCAGCTTGTAAGGTGAAAGTCAAGAGAACCACTGCTTTATAAATAATTTCTTTGTGTGTGTCATGTCAGTAGTAAGAATACCACCTCCCAGCTCTGCCTGGATGTTCAATTAGCACATAGCTATGATAGAAGCAGTGGAGATACCAACAGCTGCTGCTTCAGCCAGCCTCCTTAGAACACCTGCCCCCAAGCAGGATACAGGCACAACAGGCATCTGCTCTCTGAAGTGCTGCACATACTGCCAAGAAAGTTAAGGAAGAGGCAGCTGCTATTTTGTGCAACTGTCTCTGTTGGCTGCTTTGGGTCTTGCTTTTGTCAACAAGTGTGTGAGGCAGCAGTAAGAACTTGCAGTTACCCCCCCCTCTCCTTGTGGATGCTGTGCCTAAGAGACTCGGGAGCAGAGTGCAAAGACCAAAAGCTGCTTCTACTCCCTCCCCTTGCCATGCTATGGGGAGAACTAGTCCTTCGCAGTGGTTCTTAACCTTTGTTACTCGGATGTTTTTGAACTGCAACTCCCAGAAACCCCAGCCAGCACAGATGGTGGTGAAGGCTTCTGGGAGTTGCAGTCCAAAACTCCTGAGTAACCCAAGGTTAAGAACCAGTGTAGAGTATAAGGTGGCCTCCGCCTCCTTCCCGCAGCAGATCATCTCATTGTGGTAGAGAGGGGAAGGTAGGTGAATGGAGGCAGCAGTTGCTTTTTGCTGCTTCTTATTGCCCAAGGACCCCACAGAACCTCGCATTTTGAGAAATCAATGCATAGCTAATACCACCTGCCTGTAAATTGACACTCTTTGTATTCAGTTAAACGTTATCCAGAAATATATGCCATATAAATGTAGAGAAATTACTATTCTAACATAACTATCAAATGATAGCTATCTCAGAGTTGAATTTGCTTATCTGTTTACATTAATCTAAGCTCTACTGAGTACAAAAAGACTTACTTTCAAATTATGCACATGCATTAATCTAAGCTCTACTGAGTACAAAAAGACTTACTTTCAAATTAAGATATGCACATGGAAACAAGATACTGATGTATGGCATAGGGAACATCCTTCCCCCCCTTATAGCATGTAGCTCTGTTCTTGCAACCTGACTCATGCATATAGAAGCTTATGTATGGACACTGCTTAAACAAAAGCTGTAAATAATTACTTCACAGGACAAAACAGCTTTAACATTCATTAAAAGAGACAGCCCTATATTCAAGAGTTTTGTTGGCTACTGTATTTAAGTGGTAGAAACACTGTTTACATCACAAAGTGATATTAAGACATACTGAGACTCTAAACTACAGTACAGTACTGTATATTAAATTTAAGAGGTATTCCAACAAATGTATTATTCTAACAGATTTTTGTGTGTGTTATTTGTTAGAGGCACCACACAATCTAAGGCCTTAAACTGAAGTTTACCTAGTTTGTGCATAAATCTGGCACAGACCTGTAGAGTTCCACTGGTACAGTTAGGGAGGGACAAGAGTGGCAGCAGGAAGGAGTACATATACAGTGGTACCTCACTAGACGATAATCCGTTCCACTGAAATTGCTGTTTAGCGAAATCATCATCTAGCGAAAAGTGTTTCCCCATTAGAATGCATTGAAACCTGTTTAATGCGTTCCAATGGGGAAGTATTGTTGTTGTCTAGCAAAGATTGGCCATAGGAAAGCTGCTTTGCAAACCGCCGATCAGCTGTTTAAATAGCTGTCTTGCAAAGCTTAGGTCCTGAAAACACCTGTTTTGCGAGCACGGAGAGAGCTGTCAAAATTGTTGTCTAGCGAAAATTGGTTTGCGAAGCAAGGACCAAACATTGTCCAGTGAAATTCCCCCATAGGAAGCACTGTTTTGCAAATCGCTATAACGATTGCAAAAAGTCAATGTCTAGCGAAAAAACTGTCATGCGGGGTAACTGTCTAGTAAGGCAACACTGTACGCCAAATCTAATCTCTATGTCAACTTTGCACCAGTCCCAAACCTGGTACAGTGGTGCCCCGCACAGCAAGGTTAATCCGTTCCGGATTAACCTTCGCTGTGGGAAACATCGCTGTGCGGGAGGGAAAAAGCCATAGAAACGCATTGAACTTTGTTCAATGCGTTCCTATGGCTTTCAAACTCACCTTTCAGCGAAGTCCATAGGCGGCAGCCATTTTAGCGCCCTCCCCTCGCAGAACGAGGGCACCAAAATGGCTGCCATCAGCTGTAAATGGTTGCGCGCAGCCATTTCGGGGCTTCCGCAGCGTTTTCGCGCGCTCCCCTTGCTTAACAAGGGCGCGAAAACGCTGCGCCCCGGCCCCTTTCGGCTGTTCCGGCGGCCATTTTTTACCCGCCGAACAGCTGATCGGCGGGTCACAAAGCGAAGGTCGGTAAGCGAGCAGCTTACCGACCTTCGCTCTGCAATTTTTGCCCATAGGGGCCATCGTTGTGCGGTCGCTTTAGCGATCACAAGAGCGTCACCGTAGAGCGAATTCATCGCTCTACGGTGCGCTCATTGTGCGAGGCACCACTGTATAAGTTTTTGCACAATTGCTTCAAGGACAGATAAGGTTCAAAAATAACTGCTAGAACCACTTCTTAGCAGGACAGCGCAGAATATGGTATAGCTAAGCATTTAATCATCGTATACTGCACTATGGCTGGTATAGAAACCTGATAGAGTGATCAAGACCCGAATGGCAGGTTTGTAGCCCTTCATCTCTGGCCTGATGTTGCGTGCACACAGAGTTCCTAAGGTACTGGGAGTGATAACTATGCAGAAAGGGCCCTTTATAAGGTAATTACCAGAATAAAGAAACATTTGCACATGGTTAACACTTCCTCTGATACAGTGCAGTTTAGTGGATAGAGTGACAGACTAGGTCTCAAAGGCCTGGGTTCAAATCCCTGCTCAGCTGTGGAAACTCGCAAGGGATGTGAAACTTGTAAAGACACTCCTTAAAGATCTCACTTACTTTGAAAACCCTATTAGGGTCACTATAAATCAGTTTTGAATTGATAGCACCTAAGTACACCACCTTCCCTAGAACCCAAGCAATTATACTATCTTAGGCATCCAGGTACAAAGACCAAACTGCAACTTACCCCACTTTTACTGTTGGTGTCAGAACTGTGCCCCAGGTAGATAGGCAAGGTAAAAGGAACCACTTGCTGCAATTGCTACAGTTGTTTTTCCCTCCCCACACATCTTCACTTGTCTCAACTGTAGTGCTCTAGCCCAATTACTCCAGCGTTTCCCACAAACAGAAGGCATAATCCTCGCACAAAGTCACGCACTCCCACGGCTGGCTAGTTACTCGCAGGTGTTTGCACTGCTAGGTGCAGGAACAGAATATACAGCCACAGCACAATTTCACATCAATCCCCCATCCCAAAGAAGTGGTATTTAAACCCAGTCTCTGTGAGCTCCTCTCCGTGCCCTAACAGTAGTGCAGAAGCTGAGACCTTGGGTGATACAATACCTCTTCTCACACCTACTACATGTGAAGGTTCAAGGACCGTGTGCTCCAGCCGCTTAATGTTACTAGTTTCTCTTGCTGATGTATTTTCATGTACAGTATCTTGTTCTGTAGGGACCAAGAAGAAGACCCACTGACTGATCAGTAGTAGTGACTGGGATGCTCTTGCCTACTTCTCTGGTAAGCAAGTACAGTTTAGCTGCTAACTTCTGTAGGCACCATCTTTTCAGGATCTAGTTCATCCCAAAAGGATTTCAATAAAGGCTTTAGCTTGGTCTCATCAGTTTTCCTTGTTGATAAGAGTACTAGATAGAAATATACTTTTTTCTCTGTAGTGTGATCTCTTTTCATCTGACCACAAGATGGAGGGAACTCCAATTAGAAAAAATGCCCTTGCTATTTATTCTAGTTCCCTGAAATGTGTAGATCAGACCTTCCAGGTGCATAGGTGGGATAGGCACTGTCATTACTATATATGATGCACCCCAACGGCAGCAGAGAAGAGATGGGGGAATTGAGATATATGTGGTGGGATGTTACAGGGAGGTGCTGGCCTATCAGACAATGGTACTGTATTTGCTACATGGGATGTCAGATCAAACATCAAAGTTTCATATCCCCAGTAGGAGAAATGAGCCACATATGGGGCATGAAGGAGATAGTTTTCTGCCCTTCAGTCCAGCAGAGGCAACAGCTTTAGGACGCTGACATTAAGCAACAAAAACACCACATTGGCAAATGGGTACATGGGAAACACATTTTGTTTTGAAGCCAATTAATGCTCCTGGCAACACCTTTAAAGTAAAGGTGCCTCATCAAAACTTTTTGCCACCACACAGATAAATTTGAAAACGGGTAAAATGAATGGTGCCAGATTTCAGCAGTAATGTTTTTTTTTTAGTTTTAGTTAGGCATCCTTCAGTCTTGAAAGACTATGGTATCGTGCTCTGTATGGAGGACTTGGAACAGCGTCTAGTGTGGCTGACAAGGCAAATTCAAGAGTGACAATCCCTTCCACACTGAAGACAAATCCAATCTGTCCCCTGTCTAGCTCCCTGATTTTGCTGCTTTTGTGACTTCCTCTTTGCCTTGGCCTGCTGGACAAGGGTCTCTTCAAATTGGGAGAGGCCGTGATGCAATGCCTGCCTCCAGGCTGAATGCTCAGATGTCAGAGTTTCCCATCTGTTCAGGTCCATTCCTAAGGCCTTCAGATCCTGCTTGTATCACAGCTGAGGTCTCCCTCTGGGGCGATTTCCCTGCACTAATTCTCCATACAGGAGATCCTTCGGAATCTATCAGCCATTCTCACGAGATGCCCAAGCCAACATAGATGTACTCACCTACCAGATAGGCAGGGTATAAATAAAATAAAATAAAATAAAATAAATGTATACATGCTAAAAATTCCAGCTCGTTCTAGGACTACTCTATTTGGAACTTTGTCCTGTCAGGTGATACCAAAAATCCCTCGGAGGCAACGCATATGGAAGGTGCTCAGCTTCCTCTCCTGCTGTGCACAAAGGGTTCAGGACTCACTGCAGTACAGGAGAGTGCTCAGGACACAGGCTCTATAGACCTGGATCTTGATATATGCTGTCAGCTTCTTATTGAGCCATACTCCTTTTGTTGCAGTTCCAAAGGTACAATTGCGGAATACGAAGAAATGACTAGGTTGCTCACTCTCGTTTTATAGAATAAAGTTAGTAGAGTGGGAGTATTACCTATTTTATTCAACTCCTGACTTTTCTGTAAGCAGCTCAAAGACATACTTGGTACTCTTCCCCACTTTATTTTCACAACAGCCCTAGGAAATAAGTAAGCCTGAGTGAAAGTGACTGGTGTAAGATCACCTGGAAAGAGTCTCATAGCTGGGTAGGGACTTGAACTCTGGTCTTCCCAATTTTGGTCCATTGCTCTAGAACCATCATGCTGGTGTTGGTATTCTAGAATTGTCTGTACTGCAGTGCTGGGTTGTTTTTGTGCCTGAGCCCAGCTCTTTGTAAGCACATTTGCCTGGCATGCGAGTATCGTTGCCAGCACAGTCCCTGATTACTGTGTTATAGCAGTATTTCCAAGAACAATGTGAATATGTTTTTCTACCACTTTTACATTTTATTTTAAGGCATATTTCCTTCCTTGTGTGAACGAACACAGAATCTGGCAACTGTTCTCCCAGTCTTCTTCAGGACAAATAAAAGACAAATTCAGAACTGCCCAATAAGTTGTTCCAAATTTTGCAGGATTTGCCTAATGTCTTGAAAGGAATTTTAGAAGACAGCTGCTAATGACAGTGTAAGAAATGTATTCATATTTTTATTATCACAAATTACATGAAGTTTGGATTTTTACAAACAGGCTTTTCAAAAAGTTCACATGTTTACCAGAAGTCACTGCCACTGAAAGAGATTAGCCTTACTTTCAAGAAAAAAAGTATAACAAAAGAGCACAAATCCAAATAAAATCCATATTACAGAGCAAATACAGTTTTGTTTTATGGTCTACTGCAGGGGTGCAAAATCCATGACTCTCCATAAATTGCTGGATTTCAGTTTCAGTGTTGAGGGAAGATGGTAGTAGTAATTCATTGACAGGTTTCTCCTCTACTGCTTTACTATAAAAAAATCTTTAAAGGACCTTCTGCTTTCCTTTACTATGTATGTTCTTATCTTTCACTGAGAAGTCTTTACACTCCAGGTACTGTACTAACTTTTTATTTATCAATTTTTTCCCAATGCAGTGTTTACTCAGAATGTTGGATATTGTTACCATTTTAATAACAGAAACAAAACACTCAGTTTTCATTCTTGTTACTGAAGAACTGTTGAACTGATTTTATCATTATTACGTTGTATTTTTGAGCATTAATTAGCTTATGGCAAATGAGACATAATGAAGTGGATTGTTGACTTAAAAATTAAAGAACTAAAGCTGTAACATGGATTGTATTCCTTCTATAGTCCAAATTATATCCTTAGATATAATCGTGGCTAAACAAAATTGTATAGATTCTAGTATTTGGAAACGTGACTGTTGTTATAGTGCAGGACCTATTCTAGTTAAACAGACTTATGCAAAGAGGTTTTTCTTAACATAAATAGATTCTGCATCTGTTCCATAAACAAGACAAAATCCTAAGATATCTAAAGAGTTAACAGATAATGTTGGATTTGGAATTAAGTTTGTGATTTCCATGCGGTCTTTAGTAGGATCGTTGCTTAACCATGTACTTATTACAGGCTGAGGCAGAAATGTAGTACTTTTCCCACCTAAAACAAACAAACATAAATTATTTTAACTTCAGTTTAGACCTGAGAAATGTATGTTGAACATATTAAATATGAAAGCAAATACCTGTCTGTTAAAATTAGATTTAAAATTAAAATTAGATAAAACACGTTTGAGGAATATGGCTTTGTCACTAAGAAATATACCTGCATGAAGAAAAGATTTTCTTTCAGAAACATCACTTGACGCATCCCAGTGCCACAGAGACCCATCCTCAGAACAAGTGAACAGATGATCCGGATTGGAAGGATGAAAATGCACTTCCCACACTGAACAAAAACACGAGACAGGTATATTTTATAATATGCAGACTCTATGCAGAATATTTTAGTTGATAGCTATTAACATTCCTGTCTTTAGTTGCCAAAGGACATCAGCATGTCTCTGTATAGCCAACAAAATCTAGCAGGATAAGACAATACTTACTTAAGGTTCCCCTTAAAAAACACTTACTGAAATAGAAATTGTCCTATCCCTATCCACCAGCATGGGATCTCTTTGAATCATGAATGCATCTTACACTATTTCCTAATTCAATCAAGTTACTTATTAGCTTTCCATTACGAGCCCCAATATAGAGCAGTTATCACAAGATAGAATTCCCTGATCAGAGACTTGATGGCCCACAGTAGGAAGAGCTTACATAACAAGTGTCAATTTCAGCATCACACTCCTCTTCCTGATCTGGATTATTTTCCCAGGTGATTCCTGAGGAGGTATTGGCAAACACAGCCTGACTGGCTCTGGAATCCCAGCTCTGAGTACTCCTTTTCTCCATTTCTGCATTCAATGGGCTCTCCCTTGTAAAGGCTTGCTGTTTTTAAGGAAAGTCTGTTTCCTCTTTTCTTAGATTTATTGGACACTGAAAATTCAAACAACTTCTACCTTTTTAACAGACCATAAGGAAAAGAGTACTTAGTTTCTCATTTAGTTTTCTCAGCTTTTTTTCTGAAAAAACTCCCCACTTTGAACAAGAAGGCATTACTCACAATAGCCTGTCCTCTAAGTACTGCGGTCATAGTTAACTGTTAAAGTACCTTTTAAAAACAAGCTACTCTATAAAATTTATCTGGTATAGCTCTCACATCAAATCTACTACCAAGTAATTTACAGAACACTCAGACTGTGTTCATAATGCATACTGTTCTCCTGTATGTTTTTTTGGGGAAGGTGACAGTTTCTAAGTTAGCAGCTTGCCTATGGCAGAATCAAGCCATGGTTGTAATGAGAAACTTTTTCTAGCCCATCTGAGCTAAATTCCCACAGTTGCTCATGTTCTGGAAGGGCTTATTCTCTAAACAGAAGGGAATAAGCCCTTCTCGAGCACGACCAATTGTGGAGAAGCAGTTTGGAGACATCATTCCTAGAAAAGCACAAGACTTTCTTTAGGATTTTCCTAGTCTTTATTGTTGCACAAATGAATGGAGATACAGCATGTGCCCAAGAATATATACTGAGGAATAGAAAAAGAGAGCCAGTGTGTATAGTGAATAAAGTAATAGCCTAGAACTCGGGAGACCCAGGTTCAAATACCCACTCAGCTACAGCAACTCACATAGGATGGCATGAGCAAAACCACTCCTTAAATATCTTGCATTATCCTCAAAAACCATATGAGGGCTGGTATGAGGCAGATGCAACTTAATGGCACATAACAAAAACATTAGAGAAACAGCCCTATGAGGACCTCTCCAGGTGCAGAAGCAATGCGTGCATGGAAAAGGACTGTGTTGCTAGTGGTTATTATAACATGGAGGACCCAAGAGTCACTATTTATGAAAGTACTCACATTCTGCTTCATGGGCATTCAGCAAAGAAACTGGCATGCTGCCTTGTCTTACATCCCAAATACTCAACATTCCATCTTGGCTACCTGTAGCTACAATGTGCTGTTGACTGGGATGCCTGTCAACACAGTGCAGTGGAGCTCTTTCTCCTGTCCTGCAGGTAGAGAGCAACAATGGGAGGGGTGTGTGTTAATAAAGACAGTAATCAACGTACTGATTGAACAGAATGTCACTTAGCTGCAGCATATTTGATTTTAACAGTGCTCATTTACATGTGAATTGCTTACAGAGAAAATATTTGTGAAGGCTCATTTCCTTGCTGTCTGAAATCCCATATTTTTAGCTGACCAATGGAATTGACCGTCAGGATTTCTGTTGTACGGAGTCGAGTCACTGCATGGAGTGTGCTGCTGTCAGCATTGTCTACAGGAAATTAGAAAAGACACTGATACTAGCAATTTTGCTTTCACAAGTCCCACTTCTAGCAAGTGTAACTTCTTTACATATAAGCAATACGGTGAGCAAACGTATTATAAGAACTCTTATCTAATTGCCAAAATGTAAGGTTCTGGCAGCTGATTCACTGTTCAGCCATTTTCTGGCATGTAAATGACTGGTTGAACATACCATTGCATTATTTTCTCTTATTAACAGTACACTTGGGCCCTGTTCTTATCTCCCACACTGACCACACTGACAGCATGTTGCATTTTAATATAATGCTGAGCAGAGTGTGAACAGCCTAGTTAGATGTTTTAACATTCATATTGCCATTGCACCAGCTGTACTAAATGTCAACAGTGGTTTTTGCTCTGTCATGGTAAAGCTCAAAAGCACTGTCTCAATGAAAAGTGCACAGTGAAAGCAGATTAACTTTACTACTGCGAAAGGAAAGAAATTCATTGGCTCTTCAGAAATAAAACATGCATTTGATCCCTTTTCCAGCAAAATTCTATGCTATAATTAGTACATACATCTATCTGCTGTTCTAATTCTCTGATGACTCTTATTTTTCCTACTCTATGTCATTAAGTGTACACAAATAGTTAAGATCTTTGCTTCCTTCTAAAATCTGTATAGACAAAGAATCTGGGGTAGGAAGCATAGAAGGAAGTTTTCCACCGAGGGTTATCAACATTGGATTGTATCAGGGAAAAAAAACTGTAACAAGGCTGGTGCTAGCTGACTTCCATGCCTATTGGAAAGTCTCAGGGAACCCTGACAGTGGGGTGGGATGGAGAGACTGAGGAGGACAGGAGGAACTCCTCAAAATTGGGTGGAGGCCAACATACCGTATTTTTCCGTGTATAAAATGCCACTTTCCCCTAAAATAAATAAGGGTTGTTTTATAGACGGAAGGCAGGAGCAGGGGGCAGTCATCTCCTTGTGATAGGGCGGTGGCAGCAGTAGTCAATGGGCAGCAGCGAGAGGCGGCTGAGCTTGGCTGCTTCTTTGCCTCCATCTCTGCCTCCTCCTGCTGCTGCCTACGCCGCTAATTGCGGGCTCAGTGATCGTGCAGCCCTCTAATCCCTGTTTTTCCCCTTCCTCTTGCTAAGCCCCCTGGCTTAGTAAAAGGAAGGGAAAAGTAACGGTCAAATTTTCTAATTTGGGGTTATAAAAAAGGGGGGGGTCGTCTTATACATAGGGTCGTCTTATAAATGGAAAAATACGGTACCTTCTTTCAATTTATTTGTTACAGTTGGGTGACCAGCTCATAAAACATATTATATGGCTAAAATATGCAAAATGCTATTTTAAAAGTGTACAATGTTCATAAAACATACATCTAAAATATACAAAATGCAATTTAAGAAGTGTACAAGAGATAATTGTGTACTAGTTATATGGGGAGACTCAGTTACAGTATTTTATAGCTATTCTTTGAACCACTGGATTGTCTAAGCCAGCGGTCTCCAACCTTTTTGGGACCACGGACCGGCTGGGAGGTGCGGGCTCCATGTGCGGGGGACACTCCCGTACTCGCAGGTGGCTGTGTCACGCTCGCAGAGGGGTGTGTCACGCTCACTGAGATCTGTCTCTGTGGCCCAGTTCCAGGAAGCCCATGGACTGGCACTGGGCCACGGACCGGGGGTTGGGGACCCCTGGTCTAGGCAACATACCCTCTAATTTTCAGCCCCACTGAGCAGGGCTCTGCCTCTCCCTCTCTCTCATGGCTTCACCCCTGCATTCCTGCATGCCTCCGCCCCCCTCACATTAGGTTCTGTCATGACCAGAACCTAACACAGTCACTGTGTGAAGAAGGAAGACAGCTGTGCTGAGGGAAGTGTAGTTGTGTGCATGCCCAGCTTAGTGGGAACCTTGGTGGAGACAGCTTCTATGCAATTATATGGGATTCTGACAAATGGGAAGATTACAGCAGTACTTTAACAGAAGCATTTAGTGCAAGAGTTTCAACTCCCTACCTACACTCTGCACAGCTTCCTTACGGTCAGCTGTGAACATATTTATCCTGCCATCTTCACCAACTGTAACAATTTCAGGGCTGTTGCAGATTATCCCAGTGCATGGTGCATTCCCACAGGATAGATTATAGTAATGTGCATGTTCCCATTTCTGGCTTATGGAAAGTGTCTAAAAAGACAAAACAGAGATAAAAAATGAAACACCCAGCGTGGGTCAAAAAAGGTAGCGTAAGGAGGAGCAGAGAAACAAGCCCAACTTCAAAATTTTCAGGTTATTTTGTGGCTTTAGGAAATATACTACTTTAGTCCAATCCAACTCATGAGGTGTGAGAATTAATGAAGTGAGAACTTGAAATAACATTGTATGACAAACATAACATAGCTCTTCTATTAACCTTAAGACGCTTCTAAAGTTCATGAGACAGATTACAACATTATATGGTATAAAATGGCTAGTAAGTATCCCTTCCATTCTGCAAGCCCACACATATTCATGGGTACTGGTGTACATATTCATCCTCCAAAGGATTATTGACATTAATGAAAACAAATAATCAATGCTTTAGTTTATTTTCAGAGCTATATATATATGGCTGTTATTGCCAATCCCTCCATTACTCAAACTTTACATAAATAAAGGGGGTATCCCAAGCTGTACAGTACATTGTAGGTTGGTACTAATTTGGAACTGGGAAAGCTTGGTATCAACAGACCCAGTGAATATTATACAATATTGGCACAACAGGATCATAACACTTAGTTCTAGTCAGTATCCTAGGGACAACATTTTGTACCAAATGACATTCCTAGACTGACCTCAACAACAATTCACTTTGCAGCAATCTCAGTAGGAGGCTACCAAGGCATGGGTCATAAAACCAAGCTACTGTATTTCTATCTAAAAAGGCGTACAGCTAGTATAGCAGCCTAAGCTGGCAGAAGACCCTTGCGCTTCTACCCTGTTTCCCCGAAAATAAGACCCCCTGAAAATAAACCCTAGTTTGATTTTTCAGGATGCTTCTAATATAAGCCCTACCCCAAAAATAAGCCCCAGTTAAGTGAAACCCCATCCTCCACCATTAAGCAGCATCCAGAAAATGACATGACTGCAAAATAAAACATCCCCTGAAAATAAGCCCTAATGCTTTGGAGTAAAAATTAATATAAGACCCTGTCTTATTTTCAGGGAAACATGGTAATTACAAAGATGAATTCACAAGCACCAGCAAGCTACAAAATTGATCCATTAGGAGAGGAAGATGAAGAACACTGCTTACATGAGCACACAAATGATACCTCAGTTTTGTCTAGACTAAACATTATTTATTCCATTATTGCAGCCAGTAACAAATTATAATTTTTAGTGCTTCATCTGGATCAGATGAAAATGAACTAGAGCTATATGCCATCAGCATAACAACAGCAATAAACTTTAAATCCCAAAATAATCTCACTTGGCTGTTTCACAGAACTGCGAAATAGCATTATATATATACATTAGAAAGCACTCAGAACATATATGTTATGGTTTTATGCACAAATTCCATAGCACCAGTTTCTGGAAAAAGACATCCAATATGAACAAAATGTCTATAATATGTATTAACCATATTCAGTTTCTCTTAAAAGAGTACTATGGGCAATGGTTCTGAAAACCTTGGCAGGTCCAGAAGAACCACACTGTCCTTTTCTCCCTCCCAGTACACACCATCCCATAGAGGAACAAAGGAAGTTTTGCCACAACCAGTACCAATCTCCATCAATATAGTTCTAGAAATGCTGTCTAATCCAACAATTCTGGACCTTATCAGTCACCATCTGCCTAAGCACATTGCTCAGGAAGCAACTTCTTTATGTGCGTGCATTTGCGAAAACTGAGAGCCCAAAACAACTGGTGAAACAGTTACGGAAGCTGAAAACAAATAAATTTACCTGATTATTTTGATGATGTCGAAAAATGGTCACACTTCCAGTGGATGAAGCAGCCACAATTCTCTCCTGATCCAGAAACTAAAGGCAAAAAACTTTTAAAAGGTTAATATATGATACTATACTTGAGTAAGATCTTGAACAATTTCCCCCACTGCTCTATATGTGATTCCTAAGCATAGATGGTGTCCTCCTCCACTATTACGCTAGTTATAAAACTATGTAGTTAGAGCCGTAGCACATTAAACACATACTTTAGTTTTTTAATATTTATAACATATTTACCTGCATATCCATAACATCACCACTATGTTGGATGTCACACAATAGGTGTGGTTCTCCATTATATTCTCCATTTGGGCCCAAACCTCCAAAGTCTCCAACAGACCAAACAGATATCTTGTTTTCCTATAGGGTTGCAACAAAACAAACTCTTGTAGTTTGAAAGCACTTTGAAATTTACCAACATGCATGAACAGTATTTTCACTTTAAGAGGCCAACTTTGTTGGTTGAGTGAAGTTATGGCACCTATATTAGACCCACGTATGGATGTTCTGCCATGTACTCTCTGAATTCTCACTTTTATGTCTGAAAAAAAAAAGACTTATTACAAGAAAGCTCATGCTAAAATATAGCAGTTAAGTCTTTAAGGTACCACAACGTCTTTGTCTTTATTTCCGACCTTTAGTTTTATTTTGTGTTTCTTATCTTGTTACTGTTGTTCAGAAAAATGAGGGCTGAAATTCGACGAACGCCCAAATAGGGGGAAAAAAACACAAATGTGGGTCTATCAGAAAGAAGATCTCGCCAAACAAAACTAAAACTAAATGGAACACAAAAGGAACTCTGGAAAGGCGCTATTGGGGTTAAAGCGAAGAGAGCGAGGAAAGTTGGGGACGGCGTAGTTGCTCGGCCATCCCAAGTCTCACCTCATTGTCCCACGAGCCCGTGGCGAAGACTTCGGGAGGCTGCAAAGCCGCAGCAGGTAGGGGCCGCCAGCGGATCTTGCTGACTTTTTGAGACACATATTTCGCAAACAGGTCATCCATGCCTAAGAAGCTGTGCCCACTCCCGCCGCCACGAACCTTCTCTCCGCCTGCTTTGATTGGCCAAATATTCTGCTTTCATTGGCCTAAAGAGGTCACATGAGACGGCCGACACAGAAGGACAAAAAGCCTTAAAGCGTTACGGCGGAAGTTGGAATTTCGCTATAAAGGCGATGAACTCTAGGAGGTACAGCAAAAAGTTATCTTAGCAGGTCCAAGTACAAAAAAGAAAGGAATCTGGGGGTGGAATGTCGAACATCTTGCGCGTTCCTTTGCTGTGTTCCGCGTAATGGCGAGGCACTCCTAACCCCATAATGCACCTATTTAGCACTTTCACTGAAGATGAGTAAACCTTTCCATGAGTAGCTTACAGACAGACATCTCAGACTGCGTCCTAAAACTGCAGTCTTATCCCTACGTATTCCTGTTCCTTGGTTGCAGGTGAGCATGCATGGGATTGTGGCCTTGAATTATTTCAAGAGCTGTAGATCATCATATTCTTTCAAAAGCGACTTCGCTGATAGGCACATCTAATTCCGCACGGCAAAGGGTAGCAAAACAGAGAGGGCTGTCAGATTTTTGGGGGGAGCTAGTGTATACACCTTATAAAAACTATATGATGGGAGAAACTGTTTCACACCACCACTTTTGCTATTGTAGTCTACCTTTTCTACACTGGCTTTTTGCTGTGGTCTCCCCACCCACTAGAAGTCCCCCACTAAAAATACAAACATGTACACCTCAGGCCAAGTAACACAGTCCAACTAATTATTCACTACTGGTGGTCTTTAAGCTCATTATTAATTGCAATTATAGAGTCAGACACGACTAAACAACAGCAAGTACTGGTCACAAGGTAGAAAACTCGGGCAGCACAGGAACTCTATACAGTATAGTCATACAGGAACTGGCACTAAAGCACAGACTTGGTTAAAGTAAACTCAGTCATATTCATGTCTAGTCAAGCCTCATCAAGTGGAATCAGATTTACATATAGGACTGTAACTCTATTAAACCTTCATATACAAAAAGGATTGTATTTTGAACACGTGGGCACACTAAACATACGAAGCTGCTTTACAGAGTCCAGTGACTGGACTATCCTCTCTGCTAGTGACTATTCCAAACAGCAGTGATTCTCTGGGATCTCAGGCCGAAGTCTTGCCCAGCTCCCAGATCTTTTTAACTGGATATACTGGGACTGAATTTGGGAGCACATGTATCATCCAAGCATATGCTCTCACACTAAGGAATGTGTTCTAGCCACCACCCCTCCAGAAAGTTACTTCCAATATGCACAAAACACTGGCACAAACTATGCAGACTAAAGTATACCTAAATTTTAAAAAGCAGCACAGAATTACAGATTTAATCTGATTCTGTGCAGAGCTGGGTATGCAGAAGAAATCATTTAACAATAACAGTAGAAATGGTCTGTTGGTCAACTGCCAATATTTAGAAGTGACGCCAATGTGACCAGTAGAGATTACCTCATATAAATGAACACAGGATTACAAGCAGGAAGTTTTGTTAGCACTCTGGTAATATCAATATGACTACAATTCAGCCAGCAGTTGAGAATTTGTTCTTTTTGGATTCATGGGTAACAACAACAACAACAAAAATCTTAATTTTATGTCATGGCAAGCATTCATAAATTTAGTTGACAGTATAATTTATAGTATGTTACGTAATAAAAAACTGATACTGGCAGGCTGGTTTAGAAAGATTGGAAAAACGAACTTAGACTGCTAAATAAGTTTTAAAAACTCACCCTTCAGAATTGTTTTTAAAAGCTCTGTTTCTCATGTTATGTGCCACCAAGTCAGAATCAACGTATAACCACGCAAGGGCTTTCAATGTAATTTAAGGAGCAGTTTTACTAATTCAGCATCCCCAGTGAGCTTCCATGGCTGAACAGAGATTCAAACCTAGGTCTCCTGAGCCCTAGTTTGGCACTCTATCCACTATATCACACTTGGTATCAATTCTACTCATACTCGTGTCATTTCAACACGAATCATTCACTGGTAGGCTTAACTCTACTTTTCCATTCTTCCTTTAAATATGCAGTTTGGGGGTGGGGCCAGGCATAGCCTTATTACTGTCAGTTTTTAAAGTGAGTGTATGAGCACTCACACTTGAGTGCCACTGCTGGGAAAAATGCAAAACAATGTACAAATACTGGAGAAATTTTGCCCGTTGTCATTCATACTGTTATGACTATGATACTATTGCATCCACACTGCATTCACATTTGTCCACTAGCTGGGAGTGGTTGTGTTTTCAAGCTGATGGCCTATTGCTAAAAACAATATAAATGGGTGGTTGTGGAAAGCACACAATTCTAATGAGAGGAAGAAATATTTCCACAACAGAGGCTTTACCCTGAGTGATAACGTCTATAATTCCTGTAACGAAATAAATTCATTCTGAGTGGGCAGTGAAGATGAAAAAAGAAATCAAGAAATTGTCACCAGTACAGTATCCGATTGATCGGCGGGGGCTGTGTTTCCACAGAACACTGTGGGGTTCTTCTCCTTTCTGCGTCGTTTTTGTATTCTCTACTTGTCTGTTTGCCCCTGTGCAAAACCTGGGCTTGAGCATTATCTGGATATAGCATCCATTCCGCTGATGTAACCGCGGGGGCAGCGTTATCACCCTTCTCCCCCCCCCGCCCCCTTAAGATGAGCACCAGATTGCTTTGCGCGGCACAGTTGTGTGTGTAAACAATACCCACGTTGGGGCCAGAGCAGGAGGAGGCATGAACGGCGACACGTAGGGTGTCCTTGTGCCTGCTGCCTCATCAGCACATTCCGAGCCCTTGCCCTGCTTCTCCAAACTTTAGCTCCGTTCCCACGCTACGCTCCCAAAACATTGCAAAGAAGCCTTTCGCCTCGACCATCTCACCGCCGTGAGCGATAGCCAGAAACCAGAGTCAGTCACGCACTCCCGTTTAAAGGCACAGGCGGCTTTGCCCGGAATCTCAGGCACTCCGCTACCCCAAGAACTCGGCCTCCCCCCCCTCTTTTTTTGGTCACCAGGAGGTCTTCTTCCCCCCCCCCACCCTCACCCCGCCCCCTCGTGCCACCCT